AACCAGGAATCTACCAATGGGAGGGATCTCACGATTTCAGAAGTGTTGCTCTAATTTTTAGATTATCAAATAGATGTTGCCATGTTGCCATATTACCATACTGCATTGCTCTTGAATATGAAAATTATTCTTAAGTTTTGGTGTAAAAATACACAAATTTGTACGTTCTAAGCTTTAGAGTGTCTATTGACTAAACTAGACAATAATTAACTCGTAATCGTTTCCTATGAGAGATAGATAACTCGGCTAAGCGACACCTCGTTGACAAATTCGTTCATAGAAAATTCAGGGACGTAGTCTCATGTTAAATATAACAAGGTCACAAAACGTCTTCCAAGTGATCACAAGTTAGAACCGATCAAACGGGGCGAATAATTTGACTTATTATGTAATGTTCTACTTGAAACGGTGCTTTGTTATTGAAATTAACTAATTTTCTTCGCTTTGATGAAACTTTTTCAAGATCGCTTTAGTAACGAGGTAATCACGGCTTGAGGTAAAGCTAATGGGAGGTATTGGCACGAGTTATGCTAAGCGATGAGATCTGACAAAGGATGACTTCTTTGCACACAAGAGCTACGATCATTAGGGCAGCAAACAATCAGTGTTAATTTTTAGGTTCAATCACATTGGGATTAAGCCATTTCTCAAGCACTCTGATCTCCTTTACGTCAGCTGCTGATATCTTGAACAGTCGGATAGCTTGTTGACTGAGGCCAGTGAAAGGTCGGCGCGGAGAGAGACGCAGTTGGCTAGGACTCAAACCTGGAGCAAACAAAGACAAACAGCTTAATTCGCAGAATAGCGGAATAAATAAATTCAATGCTATATATATAAATATATATATATATATATATATATATATATATATATATATATATATATTTTTTTTTTTTTTTTNATATATATATATATATATATATTTTTTTTTTCAGCAATTTTTTATATTGATTTGAAAAGTAAAAAAAACTCACTTACAATATATAATTACAATAAACTAGTTACAATACAATACTTACAATAATTACGTACGTTAATTACAATGCGATAACCTACGTACAGTACGTTACATAGAATATAATAATTAATGTATACATGTAATACTTAATAGATTAGACTAATCACTGTACACTACCTACAATAAACTACTTGATCCGCCTACTCTTCATGTTCTTCGTTTGTTTCCAGTTTGATTGTATTATTTGTTTTCGCTTTGTTTTGTTTTGTTTTTTCCTTTTTCCCCTTGTTTTATTGTTTTATTTCGCGCGTTTTTCTTCCTTGTGATGTCGTTACTGCTCCTTGACTGCTCCTTATTCTTGACAGACACTAAAAAGGACTAAAACGTAGTTCTTCGGCCAATACACTGGTACAGAGGGACAGAGTGAAAGACGAATTAAAGAAAAAAGAAGGGACAAAGAATGAAGAAAGAACGAAAGAGAGAAAGTACGAAAGAAAGAAAGGAATAAGGAAAAGATGACAAGGAAAAGAAATAAAGAGGGAAAGAAGAAAGGGTGGGGGGGAGGAGAAATGAAATAAGTTGATAGAATATGGACCCATTAGAATGTGTCTCTACTACAGAGTTCTAGATGCATGAAAGGTTTTTACCTGCCAAATTCGCCCTTATCTCTTCTTCTGGCTTGAAAGGCTCATACTCAACGCTCACGCCTCCTGGTTGGTTAGAAAGGTCAATCAGTCGGGCAGGTCTCAAATCTGTTCCTGGCATGTCTTCTTGAACCATAGGGAAGTACGCGTACTTGTGGGCCATACTTTTCTTTTGCCAGTCGTCCCAGAGCTTATCGATGAAAGAGTGATGAAGAAAAAACTCTGGAGCGGAAGCAGCTTCTCGTGTGCACATGGTGGCCCCGATTTGACAGTGTACGTTGTCATGCAGCGTACTTCTCAGACCGAATTCAAACATAGTGAAATCGTCAAAGTTCAAGACTTCCATCACATCTGCCTCGGCAGGAGCAGTTCCGCTGAAACTCCGTGTCAAGCAGTCTGGCCCAGGGGGCGGGTTATCTGGTCTCACTCGGCTCCAGGCGCCCTTTCTAAAGGGACCGTCCAGCACGCAGTTTTGATCAGTATCTACGCCATTTCCTCCAAACCCGGTGTCTTTGTTCCAAACGTTATCTGGACCTGTGCTAAATGGTTCCCTGGAATCTAGACTCCAGTCCCAGTAGGTCGCTGTAAAAGTGCAATCGGCTTTTCGCATAAGGTTCTCGTATTGCAGTATGTAATAACGATGCCAGGGGA